CGGCGGCTCCGGCCCCCGGCGCTCCAGGCGCGGGCCGGGGACAGCAAGCCATGGGGGGTGTCCTGCCGGTCCCTGCGAGGGTGGCAGTCAGGCAGCCTTCGGCGGCATGCCTGCGGGAGGTCCGCCGGTCCCGCGGATTTGGCAGCAATTCAGCGACGGGTACACTGAAGCCGCGGGACCAGCGGACCTCCCATAGGCATGCCGCCAAGAATCCGCGGGACCGGGGACCTCCCGCAGGCATGCCGCCGAAGGCAGCCTGCCTGCCGTGCTTGGGGTGGCAAAAAAGCTAGAGTCACCCCGATAATCAGTCATTTATTTCACACAGTAATTGCAACACTTGTGCTGGTGATTTCCTGCTGTTCATCAAAAATTAAAAGCATTGCAGTGCTTGTTACTGTTTATACTCTCAAAACCATCTTGGGACCTGATCCTGCAGTTCCGAATCAGGTAAACCCTCATTGATTCCCAATTCCTTTCAACAATATCCTGCAAGGTGCCAAACTCTTCCTGTTACATTTGTGTCCCTTGTTACTTCACATATCCAGCAAAGTTCCTCTGGGCGGCATCCAGTGGCTCTTTAGACACTTTCGCAGTGTCCAGGGTTCTCTGCTAATGTCCCCTTCTGGAATCCTGATTTTGAACCTTTGACTTGTACCCACCTCCTGGTCTAAAAATTGCTGCCTAATCTTTAGAACTTTAAAACAGCTGCACAGAATGCTCGGACAATTTGTAAAGAAAGCAGAGCTATAGTCATAATGGATCAAATTCACCCGTGTGCCTAAAGCTAGAGCAAGGCTTAGGCACCACTTAATCTCTATTTTAAAGGCATAAGTGGGTCATAAGCTCTCAGCACAGAGGTGAATTTTTCCCATTCTATGCATGTGAAAAGCAGGAAGTGCACCTGTATATTAGCCAAATATTATATTTGAAAAACAAGTGTTACAATATCAAAAACTGCAAGGCTGTATTGATAAACTACCATGGAACCTGAATTAAACCACCATTCATCGGACTGACAAAAAGTGGCCCATCTTTAGGTAATCATTTAAGAAAGGCGGCTAAGAATTTTGCTTGATAAACTGAATGGAATCATATAAAAGATTAGATCAGAATGATTTGATACCAACAATTATATTATTTTATTGTTTCTAAAACACTTTTCAGAGTAGCAGCCGTGTTAGTCTGTATCCGCAAAAAGAACAGGAGTACTTGTGGCACCTTAGAGACTAACAAACACTTGAAATCCAAAACTTAAATACTTCTATATTAATGAACCCATTGAAATACAAATACTTTTCAATGTGATTTTCAGCAAATAAAATGTCACTTGCAGCTGAAACTTTGCTCTGCCTACCTGTTACCCTCAACACTGGCAACATAAACGTGCAGTTTATTAGGCCAGATCATTTCCTCCCACAGAAAGAGAATGTCAGAAGATGAAATTGCTAAGAGAACTCTCCACATTGTCTCCTTGAGGGCATAAAGTTTGTTTGCCCACCTCCATTGGAAAAGGCTGTGGGGCTTCCCAAGCCTGGTGGAACCCACAGGGATTTGTGAGCAGTCTGAGCAATCCAAGCAAGGCCCCGTGCCTCCTCATTGTCTCTGGTTGCTGTGAGCTGTCAGGGTCTCTCCCTGTCTGAAGTTGCCCCTGGGATCTATTGGGGTGTTCCACAGAAAAGACAGCAAGTCTTGTAATGTATATTATCGTTTCTGGGTATGTTTTGCAGGGATAGAGTCCTGCTCCCATCCCACTTCTCTTTTCCTGGCCATCCAGACTTCACTTTGTCCCTCAGCACAGAACCCTGTATCCTCAGAAAGGTCTCCATGGGGTCTGGAGGATGGGGGAATCCTGCCACAAAGACAGCTGACTCCATTTCTGCCAATTAACTGGGAGATACCATCACAGAGGATCAGTTCTGGGCTTGGATCTCAGGGGAATAATATGGCCATTGTATCTGATATGGCCATTGTTTGGCATTTCAGCATAAAAACTAGAAGCAACAAATGGAAAAATGCAAAGTGCAGAATCTCTTGCTCATGAACTTTGCCCCAGATTCTGCACTTCCACATATGCATAACTTAATGTGTGTGTTTGCAGAGTCCAGCCCTTTGTGCATATATACGTGTACCTTATGGAGACTGAATTACATGATTCTTATTACTTTAAGATAATTTAAAATTGTAAAAACCTTGGCAATACCTTGGAGTGGTTGCTTAAAGGCTGGCTTTCACTCTTATTGCAGGAAAAATTCTCTGCTCCTGTAAATTGGTGCTACTCTATTGAAATCGGTAGAGCTGTGCGTGCCAGTTTGCACCAGTAGAGAATGTGTCCCATATATTTTGCATGTGTGCAACTTTAGAAATGACTGAAAATTTGCTAATTTGTAAAAAAAATCCCTCACAGACTGAGACCTTGCAGCTTGTTTTTCAATCCACAGCAATTTTTTTAAAACCCAGTTATGAACTTCTGGAAAAAAACAGATTCTCCATGGAACTGCTGATTCTCTTTAAACAAAGCAGTATTAATGTGCAGCTGTATCCCTGACTCATTTCCTAATACAGTAGCTCTTTAACATACAACTTGCTCAGTAAACTGTATGTGGAAACAGTTCTAGAAAACACATTCTGCGTTTGTGACGTAATATAAAATTATAAATATTGTCATGGTCCTTGAAACCCCATTTCCTCACAAAGTTCAGGGATTTTCTCCTGCTCCCACTGGAATTAATGGATTTTTTTTATCTTTGACTCCAATGACAACAGGATCAGCTGTCAGCTTTTCATTTCTTATAAACTAGTAATCTAATTTCTCATGTCCATTTCTTTTAGAAAGCTTCTCTTTTCAGGAGCTTTACATAAATTGTGTTAGTTTCCTATGTCTTTTCTTATCTGATGAATTAATCTTAAAATAAATATTAAAATTAAGGCTGTGCTCATCTTTTATGTGTATTTTAATCAGGGTGTATATGAAACAAGCCATTTAACAAAATATTTGAATTTGTTTAACATGGTCCCATAAACAAGCACAAATATAGAGTAACCATTGGTGATGTGGAGGTTAGTCAGATCCATGCTGAACATTGTCATGTCTGTTACTTGGCATGACACAATGACGTGGCCTCCACTTTGAATTTATGAGGGAAGAAAAGGATAAGAGGAAGAAGAAACTTGTTTAGGAAGGTGTTTTTTTTTATTGTATGTGAGATAAATTCTGCTGAAGTAGAAAGCAAAATTTGTGCTGTAGCCATTTGGTAAACTCCTGGCCCCATTGAAGTCAAGGGAAGTTTTGCCATTGACTTCAAAGGGGACAGATTTACATCCCAAATCTACAGTTCCTTCCCTGGGTTTTCAACATGCCCATTCCAAACTACAGTATGTGCAAATTTAACCCTAGCACACATTTTTTAAGAAATCATCTCCACTTGAGGCTTTTTTCTCTTCTTTTTCTTTTCTTCTGATAGCCATTTACTACCTTCATCAGGTCAAAGTCCCCCCTTACTGTGACTCAAAGTAATGGATTCCAACTTACATCCTCCATTTCTCATTTACTGACTCAGTGGTAGCTGACAAAGACAGATCTAATGCTCCTCATGCTTCTCTCAGTGGATTCTGATCTCCATTCCTTTCACCTACATTCCTGCCACAACATAGGTGCTTTAGTATTACAGGCTCTGTAAAATTAAATACAAGTACACCTCTACCTCGATATAACGCTGTCCTCGGGAGCCAAAAAATCTTACCGCGTTACAGGTGAAACCGCGTTATATCGAACTTGCTTTGATCCACCGGCCGCCCTCCTCCCCTCCGGAGTGCTGCTTTACCACATTATATCAGAATTCGTGTTATATTGGGTCGCGTTATATCAGGGTAGAGGTGTATATGGATACCTTCCCTGCCCTACTGTCAGTCAGTGAGTCCCTGGCCTGTAGCAGACCTTATTGTAACTGACAATGTGTCACTGCCCAACTTTAAGCTTCTAAATGTGGGGGAGGTGGGGCGAGGTGAAAAATACATACATTGTTCATGGTCCTTAAGTGTAGTGTTGTTTTGATTAGCTGCAATCATACTTTTTACATATGTACTGCAGTGTATTTTGTAAAAATATTGCTCCCAATCCTGCAAGCCCCTCCAGGGTGCTTTGCCCATCTGGGCAGTCCCATTGAAGCCATTGGGGCTGTTCATAGGCACAAAGTGTACTGCTCCTGCTGCGTGTACAGTTAGGTCCTGGAGACTTGAGTATTATCAGATGCAACCTTTGCAGCACTTTGCCATTAACCCTTTGCTGGGGGGCAGACTGATGATTTGCGGGTTGGATTTAGGGTGACCAGCTGTCCCGATTTTATAGGGACAGTCCCAATTTTTGGGTCTTTTTCTTATATAGGTTCCTATTACCCCCCCCCACCCACCACCACCACCCCTGTCCCGATTTTTCACACTTGCTGTCTGGTCACACTAGTTGGATTACATAAATGCAGACTGATCCTGGTGCGGTGCACCTACCGGCTGTGCGGTATGTGCTGTGTGGCTATAGGATTGCGATTCGAGTGGTGCACCGCATCACACTGTCCCCTAGATGTCTCTGTGCTCAGATAAGGCCCGAAACATGATGAAACGAAAACAATTGCAAGGACACAGATTGTAGGGGGACGGAAAAGCCTAGACTTCCTCCTTACGCGTCCTCTGATTGGCTTGCGAAGGTTATGAAACCCCTGAATGGGAGCTACAACCTTGCTGCAAACTTGTAAGGAGGTGTGAAACTTGCTTCGGTGCCTGTGCTTGTCCACCGCAAAGGCGGCACCGGTCCAACATGAAATCAGCCTTTGTTTTGCTGACTGCGTTGGTAGCCTTGACAGCCTATTACGTGTACCTGCCCTTACCCAGCACAGTGTCGGATCCCTGGAAGCTCATGCTGCTGGATGCCACTTTCAGGGCAACCCAGCAAATGGTAAGCTTGATCCATGCAATTTTATTCTCTCTTCGCCTTCCCTCGCCGCCCCCACACGCCCCTTTTATTTCTCTCCGTTGTAATCAGCTGAGGAAATGTCATTTGTATCCAAGGGTTGGTGTTCAGAGAGGAGAGGCGCCTCAGTCTTGCAGAAGCTGCTGCCGCCAAGGCGCCTCCGGGCGCGTTGGCAGAAATTAGCTCTGCAAATGTATCTGATCTTGATTTCTTTAAAGTACAATGCGAATACGCTATAAATTCTGCTGTCTGACGGCTCTGCACCTCTTGGATAAATTGATTGGTTGATTTACAGCATCAAGCGCTCCCTCTTCCTCCCTTGCTGCCTTTGCATTCAATGAATGAGAAATGCCAAAGAAACCCCTTTGTGCCAGCTCCTTTCCTCCCTTGAATGTAGTTGCGGTGGCTGATGGACTCTCGGCAGGGAATCTAGAAATAGAATCGGATCTCTGTCTCTCTCGCTCACACACTTTGTATAGTACATCAGCTGGGAGGAAAATGCCCCACGAGTCAATCCATTTAAAAAGCAGGAGGTCGGTCCTTATCTTGTTGACTAGGCTGCGGCTGCCCTTGGGACATTGGGGAGCCAGCTCCCATTGCTCAACACAAAATCAACCCTTTTCAGTTTCTTGGGACCCCCACCCCCTGAATCATTTGACAGTGGGAAGTGATGGGCTGACTCCATTGCAGAATCTGAAAGTAATTTTGTAGTCAGTCCCTACTCCTGGCAGGTAGGAAGGACAGCTAACCTCAATGTCGTAGACATTTGCTGCATGCCATAACCGAGAAGGGGCTGTTGATCTCTGCTTTACTTAATCCCACTCTCAGATCCAGAAGCATAAGGCTTTGGGGATTTCAGATGCACTGTATTTCCTTCTCTCTAGATGATGGCAGCCGTTTGTATGCAGTTTATTACATGTTGCCTTCTGTGCATTTCCTAAGACTAGAAACAAATTGAGTGCTTTCATCCTAGCAAAAACAACAAGGAGTCTGGTGGCACCTTAAAGACTAACAGATTTATTTGGGCATAAGCTTTCGTGGGTAAAAACCTCACTTCTTCAGATGCATCCTAGCTCTTTCCCCATCATATTCCAGGAAGACTGTAGGGTGGAAGAGATTGAAAGCAGAGGGAAAGTCTTTCAAATTAGGATTTGGGCGTTCACGAATAAACAAGAGGAGTCTACCTTTGTACACTGTATTTATTACACTGTGTTTTCCAAATAACATTTCAGCGGCTCCCTAACCTTTTCCCCACTTTAAATTTTGTTCTGGTGGTTGCATGGTGACATCATGCAGACCAGAGGTTACAAAACGTTTCACAGAATGGTTTTACATAAATTTAATTCCTCTTCTGCTAGTACAGTCTGATCTTTTTATAGTGATTGATCAACAACCATGGTTTTACCCTGCAGTATACGCTGAGGCACTTTTTAAAAAACTATTTTTGCCTGTAGTGCTTCGTTTTATAAAACTGCATACATGAAAAACACATTTTAAAACAGCAATTTATAGCAATTTAAAAACATTTAAAGGATGTGTCTCAGCTTTTCTGTGGAGACCAAGACTGACATTTTAATAAGTCTATGGGGAGGGTGAACTGGTTTTTCACACACATCCTTGTAATAGATGACATATTGCATTGGCCAAATGACCCAAAAGTGCTCCAAAATAGCTCCATTCTTCAATAGAAGTTAAGGGTACACAGCACTTACATGTTTGGGCCCCTTCATTTGTTCCCTATGAGTGTCTGAAACAGTTGGATTGTAAGTATCCACCATAATCAGTGCATAGATTTTTAAGGCCAGAAGGGCCTGTGATGATAATCTACTTAAACCCCCTACATAACATAGGGTATAGAATTTCACCCTGTAATTCCTGCATCATACCCATAACCTCTAGTTGAATGACAGCATATCTTCCAGAAAGACATCTGCTCTTGATTTAATCAGTCTTTGTGTACATGTGACTATTAGTGTATAAACGCCATATGTCTCCACCATATTATTTATTTATGTAACACCACAAGTACATGGTACTGCATCCTGGGTAAAACAACAAACAGTCCCCGCCCTCAGGCGTTTACTTTCTAAAGAAAGAAACAAGTGAGTACAATACAGAACAGATATGAGGTGGAGTGTAATCTTCATAGATGGAACACATCACAGTACAGCTGAGCCTTCAAGAGTTTGTTTTAAGGAGCAAAGAGAGAGAAGGTGCTTGGCAGATATTAATTAGGAGGCTTTCCAAAGCTGAGTGAAAGCATAAACTCAGGAAAGAGGGACTGTCTTTAAAATGGGAGCCTGAAAGACCAAAAACTCAATGTGTGAGTAGCTGAAGTGGTAACTATAAAAGTCAAGCCATGGCAGTTATTTTCAACGTCAGTTTTTACAACAAAGGATACTTTCAGTAGGGCTAAATTTCCCTCTGCCTCCCACGATTGTTACAACACTGACTGGTTTTAGGTTTCTTTAAATGTGACCACTGAACTTTCACCTACTCTTGAATGTGTTTTCAGCTTGTGACTGTTTATCACAATAATATCCCATAAGGGTTTGATGACAGACTGAGGTAATACTTTTCTGGCTAAATGTTCTGATTTTAAAATCTCTGGAGTTCTTGTAACTTGTTCTCCCAAGAGCATGAACTTGACTTCACTTGCTTCCAATCATATAATAACTAGCTGTCCTCTCAACTATTCTGAAGGCATGTTATTAAAACAACTTTATAAAGACAGTGTGACAGTTAAACATTACAGTTTCATGATGGAAATGATATAAAAAGTTTACTTTCTAACTATATTAATAAACTCTAGCAATGCATAATGCAAGTCCCTGTCGTTGGTTAAAAAATGTAATAATATCTTGCATTTCTATACAGCCTTTTAGCCCAGTAGATCCCAAAGTATTTTACAAGCCCAGGGCATGATACTGCAAGGTGCTGAGCACTCTGTCCCTGAACAAGCAACGTAAGCACACGAGTAATAATAATGACACCTACCTCTTATCATCAGTAGATCTCAAAGTGCTTGACATAGGAGGCCAGTAGAATTATCCCCATTTTACAGATGGGGATACCGACACAAAGAGAGGTGAAGGGACTTGCCTACCATCACCCATTAGGCTAGTGTCAGAGTTGAGACTAGCACCCTTGTCTCCTGAGTTGCAGTCCAGTGTTCCATTCACTATGCCACACTGCTCTGAGGAGAAACCACCGTCTTATTGAAATCAATGGATTAGGGCTAGAGTGTTTTAGAGTACCTTACAGGATATTGATTGCTTCGTTCATTACTCAAGTGCAACCCTCTCTCACATGAGAAATAGCAACTGCTTTACAGTTCACAGCTGCACTCCACAGGACAGGAAATTAAGAAGAATATGAATTCATTTTAGATGAAGCTTAGGTAGGCTGAAGTCTTTATCTAGCTTGAATGTGGCCAAACCAAAACACAGATTAATACTTCCATGTGTTATGACTGAGCTAAAGGCTGAAATAGAAGTGCTATTGTTGTCTTTCTGCTGCAGAATGCCCCAGTGAATACTCACTAATGAATGTGATGAGATTTGGGGTTGTCCTGATCTCTTAAGGGAAGAAGTTCCATAGTTGTGGATGTGCAGCCAGGAAGGCGCTTAGTCCCCCACTTTCCCAAGTTTCACTCATGTGGAACCTGATCCAAAGCTTGGCTTCAGCAAGCTTTGAATCAGCCCATAGTGGAGAGCTCCATGGTTCCAAATGAGCAGCGTAGTCAGGTGCATGTACGGTCCCTGAGACAGTCATGCCCCATCTCACTGGGGCTTTGACAATCATTAAAGGACCTCAGATTTGACCGCGTAGCAGCTAGAGAGGCAGCGAAGGGAGCAGGGCACTGAGCTGATATGTTTCAGCTGGCCTGCACTGCTCAGCAGACATGCTGCCAGGGGGTACATTCAGGATACAGTATGTTGCAAAACTGTTGAGCTCAGAGGGCATGAATGTGTGTATCAGTAGTCAACATAGTGCTTAAAACGGTGGCAGCTGTGGAAAAAAAACCTGACCTTTGCCTGAGTCTGTGATTTCACTGCTCTCACTGTGTCAGAGCACGGGATTGTGGTAGGTCAGCGTGTGTGTGTGTTTCTGTATCTCTCTCCCTTTCAATTGGCAACATATTCCTGGCATGCGGGGAGACAACACCAGGATGGGATAGTGAGAAGGAATAGGAGTGTGGCAGAGAACGGGAGAAGAAAGGGGGAGCAGATTGAAGGTGAGGGAGATCAGAGGAGAAAGTGAGAAAGAAACCAAGAGAGAAGAGACAGTCAAAGTACATACGAGAACTAAAAGCCTGGGAGAAAGAAGAGAAAGTATAAAGACTAAAGCCTTGTCCACACTACAACCAAGATTCTGCTGCATGTTACGGGCATGGTGGGTGTAACCAGTTACAAAAAAATGGGTCAGTTTATGTCCACACAGCAACTTTTCTGCCATCATGAATGTATGTACACCTGTCAGTCTAATTAACCATGAGGTGTTTTTTTAAGACGTGGATTCTAGGGAAATATGGGCAGCTATCCTAATCTGCCTTGCCAGGTGAGAGTGCCTGGAGGATATGTCATCAGCTGCACATGTGGCAGTCTGCTTTAGGGTGCTATCACAAAGAGCTCTGGGGAAGGAGGACCAGTCAAACTGGTTACACAAACATTGGCAAGTTCTCGTGCCAACACAGCAAAGTAACTGTGCTGAACCCACTATAGGAAGACAAACATGCCTGCAGGCTGTGACCCCGATGCTAAGCTACACCTTTTGATTCCTGGGCTGGTGTTTGGTTCAGTCCTTGGTGTAAACTACAAGGGTGCTCTAGTTTATGACTGAGCTGCAATGCTCCCCACCTATCCATAGCTCAGAACAGCTGAAGTACAATTGTTCTTGCCACTACCCCTTCCTCCTCCAACTCATCCCAGCAAGAGCCTAATATAGGGGCTTTGAAGCAGGGAGCAGTGTAGAACCATTATGCCAGTCTAATGCACCCCTCCGTATTGGCAAACTTCCTGGTGGTGAAATCCAGATACCAATCAAGTTTTAAACACACGGGATGTGAGCACAACTCATGTTTAGAGCCAACAATGCCCCTAACTGGTTACAAACTCAGGGCATGGCTACACTGGAAACTTCAAAGTGCTGTCGCTTTGAAGTGCGAGAGAGGTCTCCCAGCGCTCCTGGTAATCCACCTCCACAAGCCTGTTTACACTAGCGCTTTAAAGCGCTCAGACTTGCTGCGCTCGGGGGGGGGTGTGATTTTTCATCCCTCCTGAGCCAGCAAGTTAGAGCGCTATAAAATGTAAGTGTAGACAAGCCCTCAGTTAAACTGTAGCCTGTGCAGGGCTATGGAATAAAGAAGAGGGCATGTAGATGCAATGCAGAAATACAAGAAAGACATTGGGAGTGTCATTTAAAAAAAAGGGAGGAAGAGAGCAAAAGTGACATGATTTGAGGAAGTGCCTAGCACATTTCTCCACAATCAATCAAGGATGTCTGTCCTCAGATGATTAAACTCATATATAGCCTCAGGGATACTCACGGAGACACAAATGCTCACCACTCCTATTTCTGCTGGGTGCTTGCCAGGAAGCTGCGCCCCACCCTGTCAAACACAAACCAAGCCTCTGTGGCCCTGCTTCCACTAATGAAGTTTTCTAAGGGTACGTCTATACTTACCTCCGGGTCCGGCGGTAAGCAATCGATCTTCTGGGATCGATCCCAGAAGTGCTCGCCGTCAACGCCGGTACTCCTGCTCGGCGAGAGGAGTACGCGGAGTCGACAGGGGAGCCTGCCTCCTGCGTGTGGACCCGTGGTCAGTTCGAACTAAGATAGTTCGACTTCAGCTATGTGAATAACGTAGCTGAAGTTGCGTATCTTAGTTCGAAGTGGGGGGTTAGTGTGGACCAGCCCTAAGGGTATGTTTACACTGCAATTAGACACCCGGGGCTGGCTCATGTCAGTTGACATGGGCTCGCAGGGCTCGGGCTAAAGGGCTGTTTAATTGTGCTGTAGATGTTAGGGCTCGGGCAGCCCGAGCTTTGGGACCCTCACAGGACCCTAGAGCCTGGGCTCCAGCCCAAACCTGAACGTCTACACTGCAATTAAGCAGCTCGTTAGCCCGAGCCTTGCGAGCCCAAGTTGGCTGGCATGAGCCAGCCGTGGATTTTTAATTGCAGGGTACACATACCCTAAGTGCCCAGCCATTGCTTGCATTAGTTAACCTCCAAAAGTGCTAGCAACATTGGGAGTTCTTGTGCAGACACTGAGTTGCCAGTAGCTTTGCAACAAGCAGAAGTGCCCAGAGTCAGAGCCAGAGTATCTCCATATACTGTAGATTTTGATTGTAAATTCCTTCGGACAAGACTTTCTCGGTTAGTAACCAGCACATTCTCAGTCCCTACAAATGATAACCAATAATAACATGATAACCAATCTTTGCATATATCAAAGATATTTCTAATGCACCTGTCACTTCGGTAGCTAAGCACTAAGCACAATTAAAGAGTGTCTGGGTCTAACAGAAATTGTTCATTCTCTCTATACCCCGATGGACAGGAATGTGTGAACTTGGTAGGCTTTTTCCCTTTGATTGGTTTTTGACAATAGTAAGTTTAACTCAGTAAGTGGGAGTGGGCTGGCTCCATCACTCATGTAATGGGTGGGGCTTGCAAGGGAGCAGGGTAGGGTGACAGCATGTGATAGACTTGCAGGTAGCCAGCAAAACAATTTTCAGTGAAACAAAACAGGGATATGCCAAGGGACATGTGGGCTCCCTATCCAGAGAGAATGTGAGCTAAAATGAACAATTGGGCAAGACCTGTCCGCTCCTCCTGAAAGTGCTGGTTGTTGCACTAGCAGATCAGGCAGAAAAACTGTTTCACAAAATTTCCTTGGCTAAAGAATAACCTCTCAGAACCACCAGAAGACCCACAAAGGGCCAGATCACAGCTGGTGTAAATCAGCACAACTCCACAGAAGTCAATGCAGCTAGATGTCAAAGCATTACATAACTTTACTGAACTTCTTTGAACCTCAAAGGAAGCTTGGGGTAGTTCTTTGATCCACATGGACTTACTTTTCCCCTAATACAACGTGTGTGAGAGAAACCCTCCTGCATTCAACCTTGAATTGGATTTTCCTATGGGAGGAACAGATGGAGAACAGCATGATCTGAAATTCAAAGATACAAATTGTCTTGTGCATTCAGCATTTCCAGGGTTTGGGTTGATACTTTTTGTATTCTTTTTAATGGGAGGGCTTTCTTAAACACAGAGAGCTGGTGTTCAGTCAATAAAACCATAAACATTCTGGAACCTGGCTTCCTGAGAAGCCACCTCTTTCACAGCGTGATACTGCCGCAGTTTAAATAGGCTGCTGGGAGGGCATCCTTTGTCAGTGCCTCTCAGCTTTGGAAGTGGATTGCCCCCCTTAGTCCATTGAAGCTGAGATTTATAAAATTAGGCATACTTCAAAGCCTGCCTCTTTCCAAAGGCACATGTAGTGAAGGTGGCTTAGGGGCTTTTTATACACCAGATGGTTTAATGTTAATGCCTCGTATTTGTACTGAATATTGATCTTCATTTTGTAAAGTACCATAGGTGGGAGATTAGATTTATGGCCCCAAAGAAATAAAACCTCCACGACAAGGAATCTGCAGTCATGCTACAAATCCTTCTTTCAGTGGAGTTCCTCTGAAATATTATTTATATTACCATAGCGCCAAAGAGTCCTGGTCATGGACGAGGCCCCCATTGTGCTAGGTGCTGTACATATACAGAACAAAAAGATGGGCTTTACCTCTCTGTGTTTATGGGAATAGTGTGCTTCTGTTAAACTATCCATGCTCCGAAAAGCTTTGACACTGTAGCCTGCAGTAACAGGCTCCCAGGCTTACCACTGGAAAGTGACCAGGGAAAATAACAGTGCAGAGATGTAGTAAATAAAAATGACTGTTTTTTATTAACCATCAGTGAAATACACATCCTTAAAATGAATTGGGAAAGCAGCAAAAGATTAACACTTAGTAGTATTAAAACCCATTTCCAGATGGCACTTTGGAGCCTAAATGACCTTTGATTTTTTTCCCCCCCTCCAATGAGACATGGTCTCCACCCAGTTTTTATTCTGGTATAACTATTTTGATTGGGGGCAAGGGGGAGTGATTATTTTAGTGATTTTTTTAAAGTTATACCAGTACAACCCCTAGTGTGGATGTAGTCTTACTGGTATAAAGATGTCTTATACCAGCATAACTTACCCCCCTTCCCATACAGGATTAGCTATACCAGATAAAAGACCTTTATACCAGTATAATGGCATCCACACTGGGGATATGTGTTTACTGCTGCAACTGCACCAGTATAGTTAGAGGTAAAACTTTTGTGAGCAGACAAGCCCTTAGACTCGTGAGTCACTTAGGTGTTTTTGAAAATTTTATCCATGATCTAGTCACAAAGTAAAATATCACTTCTGACACTTTCTCTAATGTTACTGGGTATCAGGCTCCCATGGATTTTGGTAACCATTCCCCTTACCTCCCAGCTCCACACTCTGAATTGCTGGGAATAATTATAAAAGGGCGCAGACTCCTCCCTGGTTTATAATATGCCTTAGCCAGGACAGGCGGTCAGCTTTCCAAAATAGTGAAAGACCTCACCTCCAACCCATCTATTTTTTTTTAAATGCCCACTAGTAGCTTCATTATCATAGTGCACTTGGTGGTTTGACCTGATATGTCCCTTCCGCATCCCCTCTTGGATCTTCCACAGCAGAGGTGGGCAAACTACGGCCCGCGGGCCACATCCAGCCCGCAGGACCGTCCTGCCCTGCCCCTGAGCTCCCGGCCGGGGAGCCTAGCCCCCGGCCCCTCCCCCGCTGTCCCATTCCCCCCCCCCCCGCAGCTACGCTGCCGCACAGCAGTGCTCTGGGTGGCGGAGCTGCGTGCTCCTGCCGAGCAGAGCGGCAGTGTGTCTAGCTCCGGCCGAGCGGTGTGGCAGCTAGACATGCTGTTCTCAGTGGCATGGTAAGTGGGCCGGGGGGTTAGATAAGAGGCGGGGGTCCTTGGGGGCAGTCAGGGGACAGGGAGCGGTTGGATGGGGCGGAGGGCGGTCAGGGGATGGGGAACAGGGGGGTTGGATAGGAGTTAGAGTCCCAGGGGGCGGTTAGGGGCAGGGGGTCCCGAGAGGGGGCAGTCAGAGGACAAGGAGCAGGGAGGGTTGGATGGGTCAGAGGTTTTGAGGGGGGCAGTCGGGGGTGGGAAGTGGGAGGGGGCGGATAGGGGATGGGGACCAGGCTGTTTGGGGAGGCACAGCCTTCCCTATCCGGCCCTCCATACAGTTTTGCAACCGTAATGTGGCCCTGGGGCCAAAAAGTTTGCCCAACCCTGTTTCACAGCATGCATGGAAAAAATATTATACTCTGCAAGCACAATTACTATATAAATCATACGTACACTGGGAAACAGTTCTCTACCTTTTCGGCTGAAGGGGATCTCCCTTAGCTGGTAGTAGTAGGTCCTTTATCTTCTCTGGGCAAGATGCATAAACAAAGTGCAAGAGGTCAAATACCAGAATTGCATCCTGAGGGTATGTCTGCGCTGCAGCTGGGAACGTGCTTCCCAGTCCCGGTAAACAGACATGCTCTAGCTCTAGTCAAGCTAGTGCACTAAAAGTAGCAGGGTGGCCATGGACAGGAGCTCAGGCTGGGCACCTGACTATGCCCCCAGTCAGTTGGGTGGGTTTGCCCGAGCTTCTGCCTGTGCTGCCACAGCCACACTGCTATTTTTAGCTCGTTAGCTCAAGCAGAGCTAGTGTATGGCAGTCTATCCGCACTTGGGAGCACCCTCCCAACTGCAGCATAGACGTCCCTGAAGCCCATATGTAGGTCAAAAGTTAGGCCAGTGCTAGTTTTCTTGTTGAATCACAACAAAGGGCTCTGTGGGTGGAAATAAATTCCCAGCCCACTCTGCTTCTAGTGCTCTGATCTCATCCCCTAGGAGGCTAAACATTCGGTCAGAAAACACAGATGGGTTGATTAGCAAGCATCACCAGGTTCCCTTGAGACCAATTCCTGCCTCTCAGTCACAAACTCCCTGCTCTCAGTCTTGTTTTCAGTAATTGAGATTTTTCCTTGAAGAAACGTACTGAAAGTGAAAAGATTTGTACTTCAGGATGAATCATTTATACAGGAGAAGAAGAATACACTTATGGCACCTTTTCTCCAGGGATTTCACAGCTTTTTAAACATGAATCAAGTCTTACAATCACTGTCCCTACAGGCAGGTATTGCAGTCAGTTTGGGGAAGAGTAAACTGAGGCACAGGCCCCAATTGAGTGAGCTACTCACACTCTTTCAGCTTGTAGAAAGGAAGGCAGGCTTTACTGGGTGATGCAATTCAGACTAGTAGTCAGTAGAAGAAAATCTGGATCTTTAGGATTCATATTTTCACTGGAAGTGTACAAAAGTTTGTGGTTATGGGATTTTATTAACACCTAAACTTTCCCAATACACTGTGAGAAATGCAGAAATTAACTGTAATAATATAACAAAATAACTACTGTATATGTGCATTACTGCCCTCTACTGGAAGAAATTGAGACACAGTTCTAAGAGTCCTATGGTGCAGTGGTTCTCAATCAGGGGTATACATTCCTCTGGGGGTATGCAGAGGGCTTTCAGGTGGTCCATCAACTCATCTAGATATTTGCCTAATTTTACAACAGGCTAAATAAAAAGACTTAGCGAAGTCAGTACAAACTAAAATTTCATACAGACAATGACTTGTTTATACGACTCTATATACTATAAACTGAAATGTAAGTATAATATTTATATTCCAATTAATTTATTTTATAATTATATGGTAAAAAATGAGAAAGTCGGCAATTGTTCAGTAATGGTGTGCTGTGACACTTTTGTATTTTTATGTCTGATTTTGTAAGCAAGTAGTTTTTAAGTGAGGTGAAACTTGGGGGTATACAAGACAAATCAGGCTCCTGAAAGGGGTACAATAGTCTGGAAAGGTTAAGAACCACTGCTATGGTGCTACCCACTCCCGAGGATTTTTTTTCAATCTAACTGTGCTTTTCAAATAAGTGTGTCTCAGTTCTAACCCACTGCCATCTTGATCTTCCAAGTGCTCACGGTGCTTTATTTTTTCAAAATATATATTAAGACAAC